AGGAGAGGGTGGGTGATGGGTACTGAGGAGGGCACCTTTTGGGATGAGCACTGGGTGTTGTATGGAAACCAATTTGACAATAAATTTCATATATAAATAAAAAAAAAATAAAATAAAAAAAAAAAACTCATAAGAATCTTGTTTTTCATGATGTATGTTATTAGCAAGGAAATTAATGAGAGCTTGCCTTCTTTAGAGATAGTATGTTTTTCTCACTCTGAAAAACCAATAGGAGTATCAGAATATACCAAAACAAATACAGAATTACTTACTGTTGGAAATGTATCCATTGCATTAAAAAAAAAACCTTAATATTTAGAAAAAGAGACATAACAGCAACCAAGTAAAACAATTCTTACATGAAGCAAGATGGTGGTAGTTATACTTTTTTGCCCTAACAGCAACAAAGAACTAGAGATATATTGTAAATAGCACTTCTAATCCCACAGGAGAAAATGGACTGTATTTGGATATTTTGCTTTGGTAAATTTTCTAGCCATCTTAACAAATGCAGTGACACAAGGTGTTACTTCTAGCATTTTGGCTAGTGCTCAAATAAATTGGGGCTAAGAAGACAGAAGAAATTATCATGAGAAAAACATTTAGGCTTGAAAATGAGCATTGAAAAAACGCAATAAACAGCTTCTATAAGCCTTGTCTCGTTTTTATTTATAGAAGAACTCTTAAAATAAAATTGTGCAAAAGCCTGAACTCCTTGCATTGCACAAAATAAAGAGTTCTGCTCTTTTCTTAAAATTAAAATAATTTATTTTATTAAAATAAAAAGACTCCCTGCCTAACACTGATAATACATTTTAAAAGATAAAATTAATCAAATACACGAGACTATGCTGGTAGGTAATACTGAATAAATATCGAAACAAGTCGTTCATACTAAAACATGCTTTTACTTTAAAATTATGATATATCTAGTAGAACACCCACAAGATATATTATATACACCACATGCCTCCTTCTCAGGTAGGTTACAATGAGGATTCACTTGAACTTGAGTAGAATAAGCAGAAAATATGCTAAAGAAAAAAAAAGAAAAAAAAAACTTGTGTTTTCGCTTAAGCTTATAAACTATGTTTTTTTCCTACACTTGTTGAAATGCTGAATTTTCTTAGGACTTAAAATGCACCTCTTAAAAGTAATTACTCTAATAGATACCCTAGCAAGAACTTAACTGTCATAGAATCATACAGAAGAAGAAATGGGGATTTTATTCCCAATCTGTCATTCTTTCTCTGGAACCAGATCACTTTTAGAAATAAACCAGATCACAATTTGAAATTTGTGTACTTTTATTTGGATGCTATTGCTTTCACTAACTTGGTATTTGGTTTTTCCACTCATGGATTTGCTCAACAACTGTCACTAAGTAGGCAAAGAACTGTGACATTGTGTTCCCTGCCAAGATGGTTTTGAAAACTTATTCAACATCTTTTGTAGCACAGGTATGTTCCTTGCAAGGAAGTGTTTATTATAACTGCTTACAAAGAGGACAATGGACCTCACAGAGTTAAAGTGACTTGCCCAATATCATACAGCTATTAAGAACCACAGGATATAAGCTTGGGTATTCTAGTTCAAAAAGCGGAGTTTTTTGCACTACACTCAATTCTGTCCTCAGCTCAGAGCACAAGAGATAAAACACAGAGCTCAAAAACAGGGGAGATTTAAGGAGCTCAATAATATCATTCTTGCAAGCACCAAGCCAAATTACTGATGTTAATTTGCAGCCTCAGCTCTGATAATAGGGCTTGTCTTGTTCCTGATATCTAATCATCACCTTGTACCCAGTTCTGACAATTACATCCCTTAGCCTAAATCTAAGTCCCTATTTTGGTATCCTGCTTCATACCTGGAGTCTTGTGAAACAGGTTCCCAGTTTTCTCTAGATGGGGCTAAAGTCCAACCTCTAGGGTTTTGATTTCCTCTAAACAGATTTCCTTAGAGTTCAGAGACCCTGTCTTTTGCATGGTATCTGGAACTTGTTTCTGCGTACTCATTAGTTCAAGCTGTCATCAGGCATAGTTTGACCTCCTGCATTAGCCTAACTGGTCCCTTGCCTTGAGGCTAAGTATCCTTAAGCCACCCTCCACATTGTTACCCACAACATCATTACGTAACATAAACCCAATTATGTCCTTCCCTTCTTAAAATTTTTCACCAGATCCTTGAAACTTCTAGGATAAAAGCCAAATCCTTCAAAAGCACATAAAATCCTTTCCCACCTCATTAACTACCACTCATCCCAGTATACTTTATACTTTACTATACCAAATTTCTTGTTATTCCTTAAATAGAAACAATAGTTTCATGCCTCTGAGATTTTGTATGTGCTGATCCCTCTGTATGGCCTTTATGTTAGTGAACAAATTCTCATTCACCCATTAGGGAGGCAGAAAAGCACACCAATCACTGAAACTTGCCCCACAGGCAGAATTTCAGACTTCCTCTCTTGTGCTCCACAGCACTTCATGCATGCTTCTTTTAAGATGCTCCCACACTGCATGGTAAATAGTTATTGATATGGAAGTGTCAGCATCTTGAGGGGGCAGGGCCTCATGCTTAATTCAAGCATCCCCATTAATTACTCAGTCCATCTCTGCGATTGCCCTGCTACTTCCTGTTGGACCTCAACTCCAAATTACTATATATTCTTTATCTGTGTCAACCATGTTCTTACCCAGGATACAAAGATGTGACTGTATCTCCAATTTACAGTACTTATTCTAGGTCTTACTTTCTCTGAGTTTGCAATTAACAGGAACAAGCTTATTCATATGTCAAAATATGACAAACCAAATGCCAAATTTGGAGATACTAAATTTATCTGGTGGGTGAGGAGAGTCTTTATGCAAATGATGGTATTAAGCTTAGGAGGACTCACGGACAAGGGTAACAGTCAGGTACTACTGAAACAGGACAGGAAGCAGAAAATGAGGTCCTAAATTAAGCTGCTGGCAGAGGAGATGGGAGAAGGCTGCCATGTCATCCATTCCCACTTACTAGCTGGGACAGATTAGAGACAGAGTGAATCCTGGAAGCTCTGTGCACACCTTATCTTTAGGAAAACACAGAGAGGGTCTGCATGTAAAACAAAAGGAATAAGCATTTTTTTGAGTGCTCTGTTGTTGTTCAGCGAAAAAGCAATGAGAAGTGAAAAAAATCATTTAAAAAATAACCTAACCTCAATACACTGAAAGTCAGAAAAGTAAGATTGAGGCTTGGGGAGAGGTTATATTTTGGGACATTACATGAAAAACTGGGTCAGTACTGAGAAGCGGCAAAAACGGAGGCATAAAAAAAAAGTGAATAAAATAACCTGACAGGATAAATATTAAAACAATCCACAAGCCTGGTTAGAAATGCTCTAATTTAAACTCACAGTTAATTTCTTTCTTAACTGTAAACAAACTGTAAACAAAATTTCATCATATAGAAATTTCAAAATTATCAAAATTTTAGAGAGGAAACTGGAAGTTTAAAGAACAGAAGATAATTAAGGTAAACACACACATACACACATAATATTTTTAGAACCTTAATTTCTTTTTTTTTTTTTTTTTTCAACCTTTATTTATTTTTGGGACAGAGAGAGTCAGAGCATGAACGGGGGAGGGGCAGAGAGAGAGGGAGACACAGAATCGGAAACAGGCTCCAGGCTCTGAGCCATCAGCCCAGAGCCTGACGCGGGGCTCGAACTCCCGGACCGCGAGATCGTGACCTGGCTGAAGTCGGACGCTTAACCAACTGCGCCACCCAGGCACCCCTAGAACCTTAATTTCTTAATCAAAAAAATATGTGAAATAGTCCATATTTCCTGAGTACCTATTTATACAGCAGTTTTTGGCATCAAGTAAGGTTCTGTGTGAACAATAAATTTCTTCTGAAATGAAAAATAAGTCCTTTTTGAACACTGCAACCCTCCCCATTAATTCTTGGTACAGGATTCATTTTCTCACTCATCCCTTAAGAAAAAGTCAATGTGTTACTGTTCTCATATTAATATTTTCCCTTAAATTACTTCTAGATCATATACCCTTTAATGTCAGTAAAATTAAGTGCTTATAAAGATCTAATGTCTTCAAATTTAGTCAGGTTGTTGTTAGAGGCAACATTTCTGTCTTATTTTGGCTGGGAAGTGGGCTACAATGAGCCAGAAGAGAACGAGCAGCATGAAGTAGAGAGAGGCCCTACTCACCAAACCACGCCTGCTGGTCTCCTTGAACTTCTATGGCTAAGCCAAAGTCTGCCAGTTTCACAGCTGCTCCCTTGGATTTGCTAGCTAAAAGCAAATTCTCAGGCTTTATTTAGAAAGAAAAAAAAAGAGACTGAAGTGAGAACCTATTTTAAGTGACTATTCAAAACTAACAACATATTTTGTAAGAATAGGAAAAAAAAAAAAGTCATGCACTGTCCTCTCTCCAGGAGACTGTCATTCCTAAATCTCAGGGAAAATATGGTTAGAAAAATGATTAAAAATTATCATGTGTGCAGGCTTCAGACAGATGCAAAAATGTACTAGAGAGATACTGGGCAGAAGAGAGAATACACTTGGGGAGAGATCAAATGAATGGAAGCACCTGTCTTGACCTGCTCACATGCTTCCAAGGGCTGCTGAGGTCCAGACTTGGCCATGGACATTGACTTAGAAGCCTAATAGAGCACAGACATTTTCAGCAGAAGGAAACTTGGCAAAATGATAACAAGAGTTGGACCAATCTACAGACATTTGGCAAATGAAACTGTGCAAATTAAATCCTAGTTGACTTCAAGAGTTTGGACCCAAATGTAGTGATTTTGATTCCTCAATGTTTCCAAACAATTTCTGAACAAATTTTGGAGTCTTATTCTGAATTACGTATTAAATTGCTGTCTTTAAGAATCTGTTTATTCTTAAAGGCAGGAAGAGTGTACTACTATTTGCCAAATGTTATAGTTAGCTTTTTTTTCTTCATAAGCCAGTTTTTTAAAACATAATTTATATGTCTACAAAGTGTGATTCAAATCATTCTTTATATATGTGTTCTCACATGTTGGAATACTATAAGAAATACACATTTTCATTTTCTTGGGTATTTATCGTTGTTCAAGGACTGATAACTCAGTCTTGGAATAAGGCTGTGTCTATTTATCCCTGTTTCCCAACCAGGGCATCGAGACACACTGGAACTTTGAAAACAGGCATCAGGGCAAAATCCTGAATTTCCCCAGACCGCCTTTGTGGATTTTAGGAACTAAAGGCAGAAGACGGTCAGGAAAAGGAGGCTAATTAAGACATACAGTGAAGTCCACCATCCCCAAGTACACATTTGGGAGTGTAGTTCAACATGTTCTTACCTTGGGCTAAAACCCAGTAAATTTAGATGTGTGCCTCGGACTGAAAAAAGTTGGGAAACAATGGAGTCTACAAGTGCCAAAACAATTGTCTGGAAATCTACATATTCAGGTCATTCAAATTGGTTCTGTTTATGTGTTAGCAAACTAATATAATTTTTTTTTTCATGAAATGGCTACTTTTTTCTTACTGAATTAAGCAATTCTGTTGGTTGTTTTGACCTTGTATAAACACAGCCTAAACCAATATTTATTAAGCCAGCCATGCAAATTAGCAAAGACTCATAACCAGAACTTGGAAAAAATTAGGTTAAGTCTACAAGAAATAAGAGTGTAGGCAAGTAAGTTTTAATCAAGTACCAGCTTCTTCGGGCTATTGCTGTTCACTGCCATCAGATTCATCACTATTATGACAATAGGTAACTGTAAGGAAAACTTTATAATTTCTTAGGGCTGATAGGGGTTTTTTTGGTTTGTTTTTTTAATCACCTCAACACTAAACACATGGTAATTTAATGTGGACACTGGGATAAAGATGTCTCAAGGATATGAAAGATCTCCAGGCTGAAATAACTTTTAGTAAAAACCTAACACTCAAAATTAGTTGGAACTCTGTTATCTATTAATGTAGTACAGTACCTAACAATGTTATATTATTAATATTTGACATTTTGTTTTCATTAATAAAATTTATGGCCCGCTACATTCACGCATTTTCTAATTTAATCACAATGTGATTTCCAGCTATCAATTTATGGAATAAATGACTTGGAAAAACCACATCAAACTCTAAGCAATAGTTTAGTTCTTCGTAACCTTCACGTTCAAAAGCATTGAGATGTCAGAGATCTCTGCTAACAAATTAGGACAGATGTGTATTAGCAATACACATCTGTCCTAATTTGTCAACCACACTCATTCAAGGAGAGTTCCAATCACTTTAGAAATCTCAGTCATTTGGGGTCTTTAGATCAAATAATACTGAAGTTGTTGAGAAAATGCCAGCGCCATCAGTAAGTAAACTTTTAAAATATTTACTGTGCTTTTATTCTTATCACTAGATCAAAAACGTTTCTTGGCAGTGCTGTGTGCATTATGCCCTTAAACACCAAGTATCTGCCAATTCAGAAGAAATGGAACACCTTAGGATTTTATCATGCATGGCCTCTGAATGACTGGGGCAAATATTCATACCTAGAGATGACCTAGAAGACCTCTCTATAGGGCCTCATGAGTCATCCAGGGAAATAATCCATCTGGATCAGTGTTTCACCTTCTACCCATGAAGACTGTTCAGCTGCAGTTATGTACAGGAAAAGGCAGGGCTCTTTCAAGGTTACTGTGTAGATTTAAAAATTAATAGCACTAAAATGGCCTCATGTTTGTACATATCTTTTAGGCAAACCTAAAATATTGAATTACGGAATACATCCTGTAAAATACATCCTGTAAAATTTTTACATCCTGTAAAATCAGGATGCTTATTGATTTTATTAAAGGATTCTTTGCTTTCATAAAATGTTTCATCACAAGATTGCTTCTAATGACCAGCTTCAATGAAACATTAGAAATAGCACACAGATTTGAACTATATACAACTCTCTGGAATATATCCAAAATTTGAATAATCCTGTTATCATGTTCTACTATTTATATAGCTTCCAACTTAAAAAATATGTTGTACTACAAAAGTTTGTTAGCAAGTAGGTTAGTTCAAATTCTGAACACCGACAGAAAGGAAAATAATTTGTGATTATATTTCATAAAAGCTGAAATGGTAGAATCTTACAGCGAATTAGTGGCTGCTTCCTTAAAAAGGATCACCACTACACTCTTATCTGCTACTATTCGACTATTTTGATTTTCTAAAGCAAAGGAGAAAGGTGAAATCAGAAACATAGGTTTTCCAATGCACAGATGAACATGAGAGAAATGGGCAACATGATGACCTAGAAAAAAGATGAAGATCTAGGTTTATGTCCTGTGTGGACATGGGTAACTCACAGTCTTAGAGCTAATGAGTCCCTTCAACTTTCAAATGCACATCACATTTGCAATGAATGTTTATAACTTGGAGGATGTCTATATTCCTAAATTTAATGCAATCTATTATGCTAATCTTTATATATTGAGATTATCTCTAAATTCCTATAATGCGATCACTTTTTAGGTCGGTTTTTAAATAGATTCTACTGATGTTCTCACACACAGGTTCCTTCCCACCCAATTGCTTCCTAATGATGCAGGATTTTCCATGACATCTGGTCTTAGTGTCAACAACCATTTATAGCATATCAGCTGTAATGAGCAGCAACTGTTGGCAAGTTTTGTTTTCTACTTCCATATGGATGCAGAGGCAACTTTGTTAGTTGTGATTTGAGATTTTCTTGAATCTGTTCAAATATCTCAAAGTACCTAGGCAAGTTGCTGGAATCACTTTTAGGACAGAGACTGGCATAGGAGATAAAATGACTCAAACTCCTCAGTGTCTAAATGAGGTAGAGACATCAAAAAAGATGGAGGACTTGAAGCCAGCTTTCTGATTGCTTCTTTTAAAGATGTGAGACTGAGGGAATTCCTCCAATGGCTTAAAAATGGGAAAGTTTTATACCATTGGTATAGACAGTCCACTAAGTAGCTAGTTGCAAAAGAATCTGAAATACTCAAAAATATTTACTACCCATATCCAAATAAGACAAGGGGGAGAACTTATGAGACATATTTTCAATCTTGCTTCTCAAAAATCTCACAAACATATGAGAATTTCTAAATTAATGTGATCTTTATGAAGGAACTGATTTGGCAAAAGTGGTGACCATCTTCAGCATCAGTCATTTCACAGCCAATAAACCTAGCCAATAAAACTCAAATACTAGGACTATATATGTGCAGCAACATCATGTGTGCTTTACTTTTTTTTTATAGCTCTTTCCTTTATGAATATTATAAAAACAGCTAGTTATTAGTTTCATTATTCCATTATTATTTAATTCTTACATTTATTTGCTTATTAGTTTTCAGGAACTGAAATTGTCTTTTTAGATTTCTTTCCTCTATTGAAGTGTATCAATTATTTCAACATAAAGATAAGCATTCTGTGCTTTGGTGTGTTTTCAGTCACTTTTCCTTTGCCAAAGAAGGTGTGAACAAAGCTCCTAGAAATAAACTAAGTGAAAGTTTGCATGAATTGCAAAGCTTGAATACCAATCTCACTCATGAACATGGTAGAAGTTCTTTTGTGCACATGGTACAAGTGACTTTTGTTTTAATTTTTATATGGAATGGATGCCTGAATTTATGTAGTTAGCACAGGGAGTTTTCAGCTGACACATGTGCTGTAAGTCTGTGATTAGGAAGTATTATTTGTATAACCATGCATATATGGAGCAAGTTCCTTAGAATTGTCTGTTTTCCATTCCTGTTTTTTTTTTTTTATTTACTTCTACATCATTAGTACATATTTTCAGGTAGACTGAAAGAAGTGAGGGTGACCACAGTGGGACTGTGTCAATCACCTACTGTTTCTCTATGGCTTGACACACAGTTGTCAGGTTCAATAAAGAGACACCAGAATGACTAATGAATTATGGAATTTATCACTTACATAGTTTCTAAAGCACCTCGACATACATTATACACAAATGATAGGTTTGTTAAACTTGTATTTAAGTATGCTTTTGAGAAAAGTGGAATAATTGTGATTTTATAATTATTCAAAACAGACATTCACAATTTGATATATCTATTGCTAAAGAGGATTTATTGCATGTCATAGTCCTCCAGAAAATTAATTTCTTTCTTTTCTGGTTTTAAATTTAATTTTATTCCTATAAAAGTTTTCAAGTGCCCCCAAATCTCCAGAATTATTACCTTCATTAAAACCTATTCTATTCCTCTCTCTCTTCTTCCCTCTCTTTCTCCATCTATTGACCTAATGACTTTTCCATTAAATAACATTGTTTTTCAGGAGGTAGCTCATTCTCTGCTAAGCCAGTTTACAGGTGTCGATGTGCTGCTAAGAGATTATTGTGTGTATATGAAGTCTTCTAACCAGATTGGTGTTCATGAAGTAGTTTGGTAACCATTTCTGCTGTACTTTGAACTGAAGAAATCTTACCCCTTTGTGTGAAATACAGTTATATGATAAAACGCAGCTATAGAGCTGCCTCCTTTGACTTCTGTTAACTGATTCACAGAAACTGTACTCTTCGGGCTCTTAAATGAGAGAACACATCTGGTTTGATATCCCTCTACTTCTTGTGACCTCAAGAGCTGTGATTTGTTACTGCGACCTTTTTAACCTAATGCTTTTCAGGGTGCAGTATTCATGTGATGTATATCCTTCTTTCTGGGAGGAACAGCCCTGATACATATTTTAAAATGATCTTTATTCAGTGGCCTATAGGTTCTATCCACATAAGGTTTGTTCTTAGTTTGCTCTGTAATTTATGCCCAGAGTTATGACAGTGCCTCAACAGGTACTTAAGACATGTTTGATGAATGTTTGTTCCTCTCTCTTTATACCTGACTTTTCAATCCTCAGTTCACAAACACTCAACACTGAGTTATAGCAATCCATTCTTTGTAAACAGTCTATTTTTAGGTACTTCAAACTGATTGTCTGATGTGGCCTAAATTACATGTGGTAAATGCATATCGTTCTTCTCTATGCCTCATTTTCCCAAGGCTGGGACCAATGCCACTTTACTGATTTCCTGAATAAGAAATTTATACTTTGGACACCAATCTATTGGCAAATTATATTGTCCCCTTCCACTCCATATTATATCTTAAAAAGTAACTTATTCTCTTATTCCTAATGATACAGATTTTGTGTAGTTCTGGAACATCCATAGGCAGAATCATTTTAATCATTTGATTCACAAATCTTAAAATCATTTCTCCAATTCTTACTGTTTCCGGTGAAATTACTTTCCCATCATCGTTTGACCTATTTTTCAGCCTCTGTAAAGTTTTTGATTTATCCAACTAACGAATTGAGAAATGGTAGCAATTAAGTCTGCAGACACTGGAAACAAAATGCTTGGGCACAAATCATATGTCACTAGCTGAACGACCATGAGTAAGTTCTTTCACTAGTGGTTGCTAAAGCTCTCTTTACGCAACATGGGGAATATCAAAGCGCCTTCTTCATAAAGCTGTTAAGATTCATATGATATCACAGTTTAGGGTACATGGTAAATGCCTGATAAATGGCAGCTATTATCATTTTTATTACTAACATCTCACCTTGATCCAAATTCTCCCAAAGATGAGAGTCATATTCAACTATAGTACTATAATTATGTCACCACTGGTAGATACTCCTTAATATTGCTTAGGTTTGACACTGGCTGCACATTAGACAAAAGGCTTGTGTATCCACTGGATACTGTCTGGCTCTGACTGATGTGTTTCCTTTATGCTAATATCCCACCACATGGAACCTTATTCTACTGCTTGTTTGAGGACATCCTCTAATTGTCTGCTATGCCTCAGCCTTGTCTCTAGATCCTTATAATTTTCCATCTGGTGGATTCCACTGTCTAAGAAGCTCCCAAGAGTGGCAGTTATTCAGATAATGATCTTTATGTTATGACTGTATCAAAGAGGATATACTTATCCTCTTTATTCAATATTAATTAACATCCACAAAAGCTATTTTATTCAATGATGCTTTTTATATTGTAAATGTGCTTTTCATTGAGTTTCATTCATTCCTAAATTGAAAGCATATGCCACAAGTATTTACTAGGTATGAAGTCCTATATTAGGTACTGTGAACTATTATAGGTAGTATTATAAGTAGATATTGTAGGTATTACAGTAATATAGCTATTGTTCTAGGATGGGCTTACAAACAAATTGTACAGTACTCATATGCTTGTAGGTGCCTTTAATAATGATGGAAAACAGAACACTTTCTGTGTTTTTCTCTCACTGATATGGACACATTAAACTGTGCATCAAACATCTGTATTATATACGAATTAACAAATGAATCAAGATATAGAAACAAAAATATATGACCTAAGAATAGGAGGGCAAATTTTTTGTTTAAAGCCTGATAATAAAAAAATTTACCTATCTCTTTCAATTTTATGTATTGGCAAATATACTATTACAAGCAGTATACTTAGCAGATAAAGTATACATGTAGATATAAAAGACATAAAACAAAATCAGAGATTTAGCACACTCAGGGTGTGTGTATAAACTTCCTCTAATATATTTTTTTAGTATGCTATGAACTCTCTTATCATGTTATGAAATGGCCTACTGAAACATGCCCTGAAAACTAGACTCAACTGAAATCTATTCAAGTCAGGAATTTGACAGAAACCAAGATAATCCCAAAAATTATAACAAGCTCTACACAAAGCATACTCCTATCCTCTCCCAAAATCAAAATAAGGATGGAGAACAAAAACATTTTGTTGAGTGATGTGCAGGTTATTTCCTTTGGTATCAGGCCTCCCTAAAAATCACCTGCCTGAGTTTTTCATTTTTTTTTCGTCTTTATTTCTGAGAGAGAGCACGAGCAGGGGAGGAACAGAGAGAGAGGGAGACACAGAATCCGAAGCAGGCTCCAGTCTCTGAGCTGTTAGCACAGAGCCCGACTCGGGGCTCGAACCCATGAACCACGAGATCATGACCTCAGGTGAAGTCGGACGCTCAGCCGACTGAGCCACCCAGGTGCCCCCTGCCTGAGTTTTTAACTAGTGGATTTAACTCCTAGGTCAGAAAATATATTTTTGCACAGCCCACAACCTAGACCCACTGCCATCTCTGATTAAAGCTCCAGTCTTTGAAGAGCTCAGCTGAGTTGGAACACTTACAGAAGCCCAATATCATGACCCCACAAGATAGATTTTAAGGTCATGTAAGAGAATTAACATTTTTTCAACCTTGGCTTTTAGAGTATACTTATAATTACATAACATGGAGTAAAATATTTCAAATGATAATGTATTAAATTGAGTATCTGATAAAATTGTACAAATAAATGTGTATGCTCATGTATATTCACTTAGGACAGTAGTACAGTGAGAGCTCGGAGGAGTAACAAAACGGGGACTTTCTCTACATGTCTGATAGGGAATTCTTGAGGTGATTGCCAAAGATATGAATTTTCAAAGGAACATATTGTTTTTCCTTAATCCTGATGGGTACATTTGGTAAAGTGTTAGCAGATGCACACAGTCCCATCTTGGCTCTCCAAAAGAAAATGCCCTTAACCATACCTTTGCTTTTGACATTTAAAGCTCTCAGACTCAAATTGAAATCGAAGGAAGATCTGAGAGACTAAGGTGATACTTTGCTTACACATCACATCTTCAAGTAACTCGTTGTGGATCCTTAGAGATATATTCTTCCAGAGCATACTAGATGAATGGTAACTACGGATTTACCAATGTATCGTAACTAGGGAAGTCTGCAAGTGAGAAACCAGCCCAGGTCCTCCCACTGAACACACACAGTTGACATTCTACATTACTTGGCCACGTTTGTACTAATGCCTGGAAGTGGCTGAGGCTTGAAACAAAGAATGACAACCGCATAGTGCTCACAATTTGCTATTTTGCCCACCCAGTGCTTTCACTTAAATTTCTAGGCCTTCACTAGATCCCTGAAATTCCATAAGTGAAACTAGAGTGCTGACAGAAGGGGACAGAGAGTGGATGAAAGAGAAGCCTCCCCCTGAACTGTTTAATTTCTAAGTGATCTGAACATTTCTCATCCTCAATGGTATCAGAAACTGAGTGAAGTCTTAAAAGTATGAGTCCATATACAGGTTACATAAATATTATTTGACATTAAATCTGTTTGACCTTTTTCCTATCTGTTTTAAAAGGCACTAGTATCTTAGTACTTAGGAATGTAAATAAACAAGGAGCCAGGAAGCCTCAATGTCCTCAGAATTCCTGGAACGTTTTGGACTTCAGAGCCCAAAACGGAGGTCCTTTAGCACCAATCACTTGGGCCAAAAACCTATTCAATGACTTTATCTCTACTCTCTTTATAATTTTCATAACTATTTACATTATATTAGGTATACACAGTATGACTCTAAAATAGTATGTTTGATCAATGTCCACAGAATGAGTTCAGACTGAAGAAGAGACCATCAATCGTACTCAAAGTCACATTAAGTGCTATATTCTTAGGAGGAAAGAAATATAGCAACCTATTTATTGTTAATGGTAGGACATTATTTCTCGGGATGAAATGGGATTTATTTAAGTCTCAAGTGTGTATCAGAGAAGAGATGAAATAAGCGAGACTGTGGTAAGGGAATGTGTTTTCGTAATGTGTTGGAATGAGTCCACACAACTTTCTTGCTCATATTTTTGCCTTTACAGGCATAATTGCAGCTGAACAGTCATTAGGAATTGTGTGGTGGTTTATCTTCTCCAACAGCATTACTCACCTTCAGGTCCCGATGGACTACGCCCATCTGATGGCAGTGTAGCACAGCCTCCAGGATCTGCTGAATGCAATGACTGCATGCAAACACCAGGGGGCGTGTGTTAGTTCCAAGCTTACACTCACTGTCTGTATACCCTCAGAGAGACTGGGTTACAGTGCAAAACCAGCAGACAACTGGGTTGTATTTTACCACCTTCAGTAATGTAAACATATTGCTCAAGTAGAGTGACTACTACCTCAGCGCAATCAGGATCTTGCCAGATGTGAGAGAAAATGTGGATCCACGTGTTTGAGGACAAAAACCTTCTTAAAAATATTTTAATTCAGGAGCTCATTTCCTAGTTCTAAATTCTTATAGGAAAAGAACTGGAATGCAAGTAGAAATTTTATAGCTGTCGTGGTCCACCTCCACCCCATATAAAAAAACTGCTTCCCTATTCTCTCCCATTTTTCAGTATCATTCCAAAGGCTGTCACATTAGCAGTCAAGGCACCATTAAGGTGAAATTAGGATACGTAATGAATTTTTGATAAATCATTAACTTCTTGTGCTTTAATTTAGCTGGCAATTATTACCTCTTGCCTGAGGGTTCATCAGACTCAAATGGAGCAATGTGTAGCCAGTTGTTTTGCTACAGCAACCCATGGTCTCAGAACAGAAGTGGTGTTTAAATCTACAGGCGGACATACATCACAGGCCAAGTTTATCTCCAGGTGAATGCTGGACATTTCAGGAAAGCCTGCCCCCAAACCGCCTCTGGTAGTTTACTGCTTGGAAACTTAACAGGTTGTGTTTTTAATATTGTCCTTTCCTTTCTGCTATGATGTATATTTAGCCTGTAGATGAGCAAACTGAAAGAGGCATCATGCATTATCATTTCATCATGTAGTCATTTTAGGGAAAAATTGGGAAAGGCAAGGGAACCATTTTAAATACCCACCCTCTGCCCTTTCCCCAGAAATAAAACAAACAAACAAAAAAAAACCTCCTTTGATTCAGATTTATGGACTCCATATACTGACCTTCAGGTCCCTGTGAACTATGCCATTTAGGTGACAATGATTTACACTTTCTAGAATCTGCTGTATACAATGACTGTAAAGATACAAGGGCAGAATGGAAGGGAGAACATTTTAAAGGTACATAATCACATTGAATACAAAATAAAATGAAAGTTAAAACGAAACAAACAAACAAACAAAAATTATATTTTCACAACATATTTTTAGCTTTACATTGGAATTTAATAACGCTGAATAAAGCTAATTCTGGTTCTAACAAAAATGACATCCAACATAGAGTTTGTGACATGTTCAGACAAAACAATTTGAGCTGTGTGTTTTTTTCATTGCAAGTGTACATATTAAATCACTTGTATACAGAAGTCAAAATTTCCATATTCAAGGAGAAAAATTCATAAATATTCCCATAATGCTCTGGGAAATTCCTTTAGCAATATAAAATTTATGAGTATTTCTCATACACATCTAAACTGTTTAAAATCTGAGGTCACAATTAAACATAGGTGTTGAAACAAGAGGGTAAACACAGATGAAGTGGCAGATGAAACGAGGGTTAAAAAAATGGAGGGACACATTTATCATTTTGACTTAGAATTGGTGCTTCTTGTAGAATATGTTAAGAGGAAAACCAATGCAAGTCTCAATAACAGAGGGAAAATTTCCAGTAAACCCACGACATAAAATAAATCCCTCTTCAGGAGAGGCATACTCCGGAGAAGGGCTAGGAACTTACGAAAAAAAAAAAAAAAACTTTTTAATACCCTGGAACACTAGTAATTGTTAGATACATTTCCATACACGTCAGTGAAGGAAAACTTTTGCTTATACAATGTCAAAAAGTACAATTTATACTATTCTTATTAAAGGCTCGCTGATGTCAAACAGATTGCTAATTAAATTAAAGGGGATAAATCATTGATTGGCACCTGTAAGGTCCCATGAACTGTCATCTGACATAAAATAATAGAGATCACACTGATGTATTTTGTACAAATTTACTGTGCAATTCAAATACAGGTTATGTATAGAGGTATATTCACTAACAAACATTTTAATAAGGACATTTCAACCACTTAATGTACAAAATAATATTACTCCAAAGTAAATCCTTGAATTATAAAAAGTAATCACCATCTGATTTCTTACAATGTGAATGTAAAAAAAACATGACTGTGGTTATGATTTTCCAATGCTAACTCTATAAAGAGTACCATTAAAGGGGCTAAAAAGGGGCTAAACATCGTTTACTTTTTGACTATATAGGTTATTTGAGTGTGTGTTGGTAATTATTTTTTAAATCCTATGAATTTTTCCCTTCACTTTGTATTACTTTTTAGAAATATTTCACTTTCTCTTCAACCGCAGGTGTAAGTCATCAGGTTTAATGAATAATGCAAAATAAAGAAGTAAACAATAATTCAAATTAAATGAATTACATCATTTTTTGCTAGTGAGAATGGATTCAATTCTTAAGTTCTTGAGGACTAGTAAGGAAAGACTTTTTCTTTATGTTTGTACATGGGAAGATTTGTTCCTTCTCCTTGATTTTGTTGTAGGACCTATCCTAAAAATTAACTTATAGTAAAATCCAAAACTTAATAGAAACATGCATATAAAATGATCCAACTTATAGGGTCTACCCTGTTATCTGTAGGGTTCTTCAATAGTGAAAACAGTTTCTATTTTAATTTCAACCAATATCTTTCAAACATAATAACCTGTTTTACATAACTTTAAATAGCAAAATAAATGTAATTCCCTAACTTGTTTACTACCTTAGTTAAAATTACTACTCTCTTCGGGCAAGTGGGCAAATAGCTAATTGCAAGGCTGCTCTGAAGCCTCTTTTCAGGGGCCGAATGTAAGAAATGGGATAAACTGAGCAAGTGGTGATTCACTCATCATAGTATAAGGGACATGGAAGTTTCTATTTGACTTTGGCAGTAAAAATTCCATTAAAAAATTAGCATGTAGTCATGTACAGATAAGGTTCACAGAATGTCATAAACTGGCATTAAACCAAGAAGATTAATTAGAGATTTGCAAGTGAGCATGTGTATGCATGTGCTGCTTTGAAGGGAAGGGGAGGGAATCGGCTATCAGCTGACTATCTGCTGAGGGCAGGCTACTGTGGGATTAGTAAGCGTTAGGAAGCTCTGACAGCATTAGAGAATGGGGGCAGACAATAAGTAACTGAATTTTCAGAATATCTCATTTACATGGCTAATATAGAGTCAATTGCTCAAGGCTAGAGTTTTCAAAATAAGTGCCAACTACTGAATATGTGTAAAGAAACATCAAGGAAAACTAACATGATACAGTCTAAGTAGTACCTAGGCAAGTAAATTAATGTTACTTCAAAAAGGTTGCCTTTGTGCAGCCTAGGAAGTTTCAAATGAGAGAAAATGTACAGTATAGCCACTGTTAAAGATGATGACAATTAACAAGATTGGGAAATATTGAACCCTCTGAAATACCTGAATAAATATTTTTCATATGAGAGTTCCAAAAGCTATCCTGGAATTTCCAAAGAGTTAAACAGCTAATAAATGCTTTAAGGAGACCACTTGGGCTTTTGTACTCTATTTCTTTTTATGCTCTCTGATTAGACATGGGCTGTTCAGTGGAATGGTCTATGATGATGGAAATGTTCTATATCTGCTATCTTCAACTGGTAGTCACTAGCACTTAAGGCTATTAAGCATTCAAAATGTAGCTAGTACAACCGAGAAACTAAATTTTTTATTTAACTTTAATTTTGACGGATTGAAATTAAAATAGCCATGTGACACTAGGGACTACCATCATGGGCAGCTCAGGATCTAGAGACTAGAAGATCTTAATCTTTTATCTCTTAACTTTGCTAAAAGAGTACATCTCTTTAGCAGAAGTCATTCCCAATACAGTGTATATTTTATTATTCATTTTTAAAAGACTAACTGTAGATGCTAGATACTAACAAAATTTAGACCAGATTCTAATTTTTTTCCCCAAACCAATTATTTTGGAAACATTAAGAGAGACAAATAGCAATTAAGAGGGACTCGTTTATGAGAAGAAGTCCAAGATGGTTTTATGAGAGTCTCATAAATACTAAGGGTTATGATATATTTATAAAGAGATATATTGAGCAAGTGTCATTTGAATGTTGAGTCTTGTATCTTGCTCAGGCAAGTCACTTACCTGGCATCAGCTTCACTGTAATATTCTCTCGCCACTATGTCTTCAAACAGTTCACCTCCAGTAACTCTGTAAAGATAATCAAGATATTGTCATTAAAAATAATAATAAGCACCAATAGACTTGCACCATGTTCATATAGAATTTTTTTCAGATTGTTTTGAAAATTATCAAAACAAAGGATTTTAAGACACTACATTACAGATTTCATAACAATCTATACTAATCTAAACATTTCCATCTTTTCTACATATCTTTGTATCACTAGATCCTGAGGACACAATTTTCTGTATACCAAAACCATATTCAGAGATATCTCTCCACAAATAATCTCTATGAAACTCCTCATTTTAATTCTCCCAATATTAACTAAGGTCTGATGAAGTGTGGTGAACAGTTTAAAAATATTTTCTGAACAATAAGAGAAGACACTTACTACTCAAGGCTATAGAGTATGCATTTGTAGTCTGCATCTCTCTGAACGGGCTTGCTTTTTAGACTTCAGTACACATGACCTTATGGGCTAGAGGTGGCCTTCTAAAATACATATTGCTTTTGGGCTGAGTGCTAGATTTTCTTTGTAAAGCACCCCAATTTCCTTTATGATCCATGTATTTGCCAGTCAACACAGACTTAGGGATTTTGGCAACTTGATCTCTTGCCAACTAAGAAGTCATATCTGTCAGCCATCTTTAAGTGAAGAGTTTCCCATAACTCAGCAACTGGATTTAGTTACTCTACAAAGTACATTCAAATCAATGCTCTGTATATACGTAAATGTAACTATCTTTCGGATCCATTTCTTCTCCAGGTCCAAAAGACTGTTGTTCTGGGGCTAGAATTCCCTAACCAGTGATTTTCTGGCTCCCCCCTCAAATATATGTTTTTAATGTGATTTTTTTTTTTTAGCAAATTTTAAAAATATGGAAGTGTACCAAGTACCCCCTTGTCCCTCAACCCCAATTCCACCCTCTGGAAAAAAACTAATTTTAACTTTATGTATATCCTTTCAATTTCCTGTGTATCTTTAAATATACTTGTCCCCTTGCAAACACAAAGAAAACATTTTTTTTTTCCTCACAAAAGTAGAATCATGCAATATAGGTAAATTATTAGGCTACTTCTGTTTTTTCATTTCACTTAAGGTCATGGGCACCATTTTGTGTAAGAAGTCTTTATTTAATAAATAGACATATGCATATGTGTGTATGAGTCCAGGCCAACTGCCTTCCAAAGTGGTTGTTACCCACCCCTACACAAACATCATGAAGGTACCGACAGTTTTTTCCCAATTAAAAAAAAAAAAGAAAAAGTTACCTCACGTTAATATTTCTTGATTATTAATGACGTGAACCATTTTCTCATGTATCAGCCATTTCCTAATCTATTAGGATATGGCTTGATTTTAAATTTCAACTTTGGAGTTTAACCTTGTAATAGATAACATTTGGTTACCATGTGCTACACAGTGTACTAAGCATATTAACTCATAAATCCTTGTAATTATTGTCTGCGATGGGTTTTACCACTAGCTCAGTTTACTGATGAGAAAATGAAGGTACAGAGAAGTAACTTGCCTAAGATTATACAGATATAAGTGGCACAGGCGGGCCATCCATTCCATAGTTCCTGCTCTCAATCACCACACAATGTAGCCATTCCAATAATTACACTGTCAATCTTTCCAGAAGTTTAGAAGGCATGAGTGATTTGAAAAAGCACTGGGTAAAGTTATAAATCTTGGTGTGTACATTATGGAAGGAGAAATAAATTTGCTCTTCAGATAGCTCTTTTTTCTTTCTGGTTTTCACTTGCTTTAATAAGTTCTGAAATAACACCAAATGATAACATGTTCCAGAGATCACCATTTATTATTTTCACCAAATGATAACATGTTCCAGAGATCACTAGTTACTATTTTCTTTTGGATTTTCCTTTCCTAAAGGAAAAGATATAATACGAAAGACTTTTAACATGTCTGAAAGCTTATGCAACTTTGACTCCTCTCCATTGCATTCTGAATATTTATAAGTCCTTTAATGCTAGAGTCACTATTTTCAGTCCTATTGTTTTTACAAATAAAATGTGCATCTAAAATTATTTAAAGCTTCATATGGGCTTGTTCTGAAAACCATGGTTACATGTACATGTGATTTCATTTAATAGCTCACCTAGTTTTTTTCCCCAGTTAGAATTACAATAATAATGCAATCACATAAATTATAATACAAAATAATTAAATAATAGACAGATGATACTTCCAACAAACCATTATCATCCCTATAATAACAGTTTTGTAGGATTTCTTCCTTTGAATGAATATGAGTAGGTAAATATGATATATAACCATATTTATCTTTTTTTTGACCACAGGTACCTAGAAAATCTGCATTACAAACAAGTGTGGTTTGTGAAATGTTACCAAATATCGATTAAAAAGCTTATTGACATCAATGATATTGCTGCTTATAGTAGCTCCTTAAATATACTGTATATTCCAGGAGAAGCTCCGTAAGTATAGTATATATTCCAAGAGAATTGTCATATCCTAAATCACTAGGATTCATAACTTACTGATCTTTTTTCTAACCCCAAATATTTATTCAATTAAGGAGTACTGAAGTAATGATTAAATGAATTAACAAGTCAGAAAACCATGCTATTCATCTACTCTAAGTCTGGACTTTACACACACTTAAAAAGGAAAAAAAAAAACATTAAAATTTATATATGGCAATAGGTTTTATTTCTTAAGGTGTTTTTATTTAAAGAAGACTATTAAAAACACTTAGGGCCTAGCATTCTAGTAATTTTCAATGAACCATTCCAGCTGTTAAAGAAGTTTAAGGGGTAGAGTTTTATTTTGAATTAAGCATCTCTGACAGCACTCTTTCTCATTTTCTAACATTCATTGTTCCCATTATTTAAAAACATCCTTGTGCAAATGAAACCATTTTTATCATTTCTGTTGTATGTATGATAAATGGGAAGGTAAAGATGGAGTTCTAATAGAACATGTTGCCTTGAAGATAAACTATTGAATTTTCTAATTTTAACATATTTCTATACTGACATTATTGTTTAATGGAGTGCAAAATTAAGCAGTAGTTACAGATTGAAAATTTGGGGCGTCTGGGTGGCTCAGTTGGTTAAGCATCTGACTTCAGGTCATGATCTCAGTGCTCCTGAGTTTGAGCCCCACATCGGGCTCTGTACTGACAGCTCGGAGCCTGGAGCCTGCTTCAGATTCTGTGTCTCCCTCTCTCTCTGTCCCTCCCCCACTCATACTTTCTTTGTTTCTCAAAAATAAACATTAAAAAAATTTAGCATGCTATATAAAATTTCATACAAAGTCAAATTGAATCAGCCTCATGAATAAAGTGTTCATTAACTAATTCAAACTTCTGTGAATAAATTAATGTTAGAGTTCTGTTATTATATGAGGCATATTAATTATATATTTTTAGCATTAATTGCCTTTTATGAATCTCTAGAACATTAGGGGTCACAGGGAAAAATAAGATAATCCTGGAATCATGAAAAGATGAGACTTCACATATCAAAAAAGATAAATACTTTTGTTGCTGCTATTGTTATTTGTAGAGATGTTGATTCATTCTGTGTTATCCAGCAGAATGAACTGTCGTTTTGTTCCTGGTCTATATATTTATGATTTATATCAGAAATTGTTGAGAGTAGTTCTATATTGAATGAAACATTTATAAAATTTCATGAGGATTACAGCCTTGACTATGAGTCTAAGCAGATAGTAGAGTCCAAAACTGGGCTCTGGAAGAACAAATGGTGCCACTAGCAGTCACTGTCTGTCACCTGCACTACTGCAATAGCCTCTTAATTGGCCCTACTTCCTCTCCTGCTCCTCTGCCATCAGTTCTCCAGAAAGCAGCTTTAAATGTGCTTCATATTTTGTCCCATGACTATAGGAAGCCCTTTAAATAGCTGTCCAGTGATACTGGACATGACCTTCAAGTCTTTGCCAAATTTGTACTCTGCCCATCTCTGACCCTCCTTGGCAACCCTTCTCCATCCTACTCCAACCACAATGGCCTTCCTCCAGTTCCTCAAGTGCACCAAACTCCTTCCCATTCCTGGGCCTTTTCACATGCTTGTCTCTCTTCCAGGATATTCTCAATCTGTTTACCTCTATTACTTGGTGACTCTTAAAATTTGGCTTAAATTTTATATCCTCAGACCTCCACTCATCTACATTATCTTATCCCCCTAGAACCCTGTGTTATTCTTCATAACACTTATCACCAATATAATTATGTGTTCATTTATGTACTCATTTGCTTAATGTTTGTCACTCTACTAGTATGGTAGCTCTGGGAGGGTAAAATCTGTTGTGTTTTCACTATAAAATAATCAGAGCTGAGTCATAGTGCCTTTAACAAGCTCATTAAATGCTCTTAAGTGAATGATTCCAGTGTGTTATATCTCAGAGAGAGGCATATGTGGGAGATGATCATATGTCAGTGCATTAAGGTGGGTATTCTTCATATATCACTAACCATTACATTTTGATAAGAAGGTAAGGATTTTTCAAGCAGTTTCCCCCTACAAAATCATATATTTCAGTCCTGGATCTTGTAGTATCTTTCCCACAAGATAGAGTTTGTCTATGAAATAATCCTGTCTGATCACAAATGTAGAAGAATTTGTTGAATTCATTATAAGTCACATAAGTGGACTGGAGATTGAAAAGGGAATGAAAGCATGGTGTTTTACAATCTGGGGAAGAAATGTGTAACATTTCATTTTTTAAAGAACCGAACCTATGCCTCTTGTTACCAAAATTAAATACAGAGAACAAGAACATTTATTTGTCCAACTTCATTTGACATTATGACTCTCTCATAGGTTCGGAAACATAAGTTCCTGGTGAATGACCACTGTTTCAGGAAGAGTCAAGTGGTGTAACCATGACACAAGCAGAATCACATGTGTCATCCAGTCCTGTTAAAGCTACAATGGTGGGCATGGGGGGCAGCTGATGCAAACCGAGGAGGGAGGGATTACAAGCATAACCCTGGCTTCATTTTTAATAC